AAATAAAATTTGCAACTGATTTGAAGTGTGCAAAGAAATAAAAGAAGGGAGTGTGTGTGTGTGTGTGTGTGTGTGTGGTGTGTGCTTGCAGGGGTTCGGGGAGGTGATGGTGGTGGCAGGCAGCACTTAGCAAGGTAACACCAGAAAGCCATTATAAGGAATAGGAATCTTGTTCCTTTAGAAGAAGGAGGAATTAAAAGGAATCTCCTTTAAAAAATTGGCAATTACAAAAATTTGTAAATCTTCAACTGTACTTCATGATGTTTCACTAACAAAATTTTAAAAAAAATGTAAATGATGGAGAATGGGCACTGGTGGATGGATGGGTACTGGATCATTGTATAACTGAAACCCAAGTACACAATTTGTAAGTCTACAACTGTACCTCATGGTGTTTCACTAATAAAAATTTAAAAAAATTGGCAATTAGAGGAACTGGAGCAACTGTATAGCAGATAGAACATTTTCCTTGCAAGTGGCAACTCATATGGTCTCTTGAACCAGCCAGAAAGTGATCCCTGAGTGCAGAGCCAGGAGAAACCCCGGAGTACTGTGGAGTATGAACCCAAAACCCAAAAATAATTGACAATGAGAAAATGACCTTTAAATTTTGCTGATCTTTGACAGAATTCTGTACTGATGCTTACACAGAATAAATCTGACTTTTATCCTAATTCAAAGAGGGCAGAGAATTGACTACAATTGAATGTTCCTTTCAGGATGAAATCTGGAAATCAATGTCAGTGTGATCCTGAGGAAATACAAAACATCAGGCCAAGAAAGGAAGAGTTCAACTGCAAATCTGAGCATTTCCATTTGTTCTTACTGCCACTAATAAATTAATGAGAAAGGTAATTAGAAGTACAATGATGACTTATGATTTTACAAAGTGAAGCAACAACAACACATGAAGCATGATAACAGCTGCACTGTTAATGAAAAAAATGTTGATTTGGAATAAAGAGAAGTTGATGGGAAAGCAATCAAAGAAGGAGAAGCCATCCTAATGAGAAGATATAGTACTGAATGAGGAAACAAAGAGCGGAGCAGGTTATTGATGAGTGTGTAGGGAATAGAAGAGGCTGGGAAGGATTAAAAAAAAAAGCCCAGACATGTGCCACTGGAAACCATAGTATGGCATAGCTTCTCACTCCTTGAGGAGTTCCAATTTCAATTCCAATTTATATTGGAATTAAAATAGAAATTTAGATTGTATTTTCCTTTAAAAAGAAAATGGTAGCACCACAGAGATCATAGAGCAGGTAGGGCACTTGTCTTGCACACGACATACTAGGGTTTGATCCCCAGCATCCTACACAATCCCCTGAGTGCACCAGGAGTGATTTCTGAGTGCAGAGTCAAAAGTAACTCCTGCCGACTGCCAGTTGTGTCCCAACACAAAATAAAAGAATAAGAAAATGGCACCTCTGACTCTACCTCCAAAACAGAGGTCAACCAAGTTCTTTTTATCAGTTGATAGTTAAGATACACTGATGAACTAGACATTCTGTCCATATCTAAAGTCTTGAAATACCTGTTAATACTTGGCTACTTGGGGCCAGAACAATATTATAGCAGGTAGGGCATTTGCCTTGCATGTGGCCAACCCTGCATCCCATATGGTCTCCCAAGCAATTCCAGGAGTAATTCATGAGTACAGAGTCAGGGGCAATCTCTGAACATTGCCGGTGTAACCCAAAAATCAAAAAAAAAAAAATGTGGCTACTTTGAGTCCGAGACTCTAAGAATATCCGCAACTCTAAGCAATTGGATCTGTAAATAATGCTCAAGATGAAAAGTTCAGACATTCTTAGACATTGTTGATGAGAAGCATTAAAAGATCAAGAAGATAAGGATCTTCAAATTCATTTTTTATTCCCCTTTTAAGAAGTGGGTGTTTAAAATGATGGATCAAATTAAGGAAGACAATTATGTATTCTTATTTGTACACCAGTTTCTCTAATCCTAAATTTAGCACTGCCAATCATTTTATCATCTAAATGTTTTATCTTTCTTCTCAAATATGACACCCACTCTAAGACTTTGGGGCTGTTTCATGAATTTATAAACTGTATCAGGGTTAGTTGGTAGCTTGATTTTGTTAACTACACCCAGGAAAACAGGACTCTCCATACGAATTCTCCCCCAAAGAATGCTTCAATATGTCTAGAAGTGCATAAGCAATAAAGAAGTCCAAGGTGCTAACAAGCCAGGGATCCGGGAAGATGTCACCCACCAGAAGTCACCCACACTAAGGATGCACATGGACCCTCATATCAGGAGTGTTTGATGACACATCAGTGTTGTTGGCATGCCAAACTCTTTTATATGTCTTTTATTGCCAGGAGCCTGGACAGGAAGTACATGGGAGTTAGAAGGTCAAGAAAACTGTCTCAATCATTTGTAAAGATTTTCTAGCAGGTATATCATGGTTTCTGAGAGCCTACGAACCATGAGCAATTTCTAAAGAGTGCATAGGCCAGGAAATTTAGTGATGATGATGATAAGCACTAGGAAACAACTTCAAAGTGGTGAAGTTCAAATCAGAATATTCTGGGTGGAGGGGGGAGGAAGAAAGAGGAATCTGATGAGTAAGCCTTCTCCTCTTTTCTTGGAAAATTGTCCATTAGGGTGCTGCAGAGAGGAAAGAAGGAATTCTCGAGTGCTTTCCAAGCAATTATAGTCCTCTTCAGTGGGATGTGCAGGTGTTCCTCTCCTCCAATGAGGATTGAGGCTGGGAACCCTAAAGGCCCGGTGGTCAGGGAGAGATCACTGAGTGACACGGTTCTTCTTAGAGTGGCTGAGATGCTTGTAAGTATGCAAGCATGGCTACCTTTCCTGCCCCGAGTTCTACACGAGTCTTTAAGGTCTTCCTTATTTATAGTAATGGAAAAAAGGGGGACTTATCACTTTGGAGATGTCAGGATAAGACATACAAATAACCTTAGACGCTAATTCTTGGGTAGGGCTACACTCTTGAGAATGAGATTGCTCTGGAGATCTTCCTGCGACTCTTAAGGTTCCCTGAGACTGCAATTGTTCTTCAGTGTCACATCTAATAGAACAAGCAAGTTAATTTCTCCTTTACGAATGATTGAAACAGTAGTCTTGATTGGAATCATTAATTTGGTTTGGTAGAGACCAGTTTTTCAGCTTTCTGAACACCTGCTTTCTGAACAGGAGCTTTGAGTCTGGCTTAGCTGAGGGCTTCAACTTGGCATTGCTAGAAAATGATTTAGTGTAGAGGAAGGAGATGCATTTCTTCTGGCTGGGATATATACCAACTGCCATTGAGCAGCATAGTGATTCTTCTTAGCTGGAAGAACAGGTGGGTTATTAAGGGGTTGGTGCTGTACTTGGGAGTAGGATCACAAGATTGAGTAATAGATCTAAAAGAAAGAAGCAGCTGTTACAGGGAGGTAAATACAAATCACATGTACAGATTTCTAGAGAAAGTGATTAAAAATGTTCTTTACATTGAAATGAAAGGTTTTCTCTACAGATTTAGCTTTAGGTATAAAAAATTGAACCATTTTTATAAAAATATCAGATCATAAGGGACTGCAGTGATAGCACAGTGGGTAGGGCACTTGCCTTGCATGTTTCCAACCCTTTTTTGATCCCTGGGAAACCATGTTGTCTCCCAGGTCTTCCAGAAGTGGTCTCTGAACTCAGAGCCAGAGTTAGCCCTGAGCATCTCCCGTTATGGCATAAAAAAGAAGAGAAGAGAAAAGAAAAGAACAGAAAAGAAAAGTAAAGAAAAGAGAAGAAAAAAAGAAAAAATAACAATAATCAAGGATGAAAAAATGTATCAAAACATAAAAGTTTAGGGACTCGAGTGATAGTACAAAAAGCAGGGTGCTTATCTTGCACTCAGCTAAGATGGGTTCAATCTTCAATTATGGTCCCCAGAATTCTGCTTGGAGTGACTCCTGAGCACAGAGCCAGGAATAACCTCCGAGCACGTCAGGGTGTGCTTCTACTCCTGACAAATGCATTTAAAGAGCAAAACCCTATAATTTCTACCTTCTGTAGACAATTATCACTAACATTAAGGCAGCATCATTTCAAGTGTTTTCTGTATATATCTGAGAGAGAATAGAAAAATGAAAGAAATTATTTTTATAAAAATAGCACCTTATGTAAGAAGTATAGTTCTGGTGATAACATGCGATAAATTCTAGCTATAAAAATATCTGGAGATATTAGAGCAAAGCCAGAATACAGAAGCCTTTTAATTATAGCTATAATCAGAAGAAAATAAAGCAAATTGTTTATGTTTAATTATTTATGGCACAAGTAATGACAGAACTGAAGACCAGAGTGTTCCTTCTTTCCATGAGTTGACACAGTGACTCTTGGAAGAGAAGTTAATTACTGATGAATTTATTACTGGATTTTTTTGCATTACCTATTTCATTATGATATCTTCTATCAACCATCTATGATTTTTATATTTTTAAAATATAACTCATCAGAGTCAATCTTCTGAAATTCATCCCTTGATCTAATAACTGGGCAAATAAAGGGCCATTTCTCTGGAAGAGTTTACAAAAGAAAGTCAAATGACTGCTGATTTTATCAGTAAGTACCACAACCACAATTTGAGGCCTATTGTGTGTTTGTTGATATCATCAAAGAACAAGAGTGTGTCAGTCACAAGTCAAATAAGTCAGGTATTATTAGAAAACGATTCAGTCTAAAATTTCTTAAGTCCTAAATCACTTACTTCATAGAAAAGTCACTATAAACCCTCATGCTGTAACTGCAGAATGTTTCTACTTCTGGTTGTTGCTTTAAAATCAGCTATATTTATCTAAATATACCATTTCTCTACAGAAATAATGTTAATTTTTTTCTGAGTATAAAGTATGCATGTCTTACGAAGAATTGTTTTCCAACCTTGGGGCAGTAAGTTTAACCCTCCTCCTCTATTGGCTTAATTAGTTCAAGTCAATGTTCCACTGAAAAGGCATGGCCACACTGGTTCTTTCCCTTACCTCCTTGGCCCATGCTGGTTTCTCGCTAGGACTCATCCCTTCCTTGTAATGGTATAGCGGTTTCTTCTCCACAGGCCGCTGTTCTTGTCGCTGATGCTGAAGGGAAACCAAATAGTCTCGCTCTTGCTTGAGTTGTCTCTGCAGTCTTTCTGCTTGTCTCTGTTCTTCCAACTGTTTGCGCTTGTATTCCTGTACAGATCAGGAAAGACGCGTAAAGAAAGGGCGAAGTCTCCACAAAGAAACCATTAGTCTTCCCCAGTGAGGTATGCAATGAGGCAAACAGTGATAACAGAGGACTTTGACACAGAACCACAGAAAAGTATAAGGATATACTGTGGAGACAGGTTACACTCTTGGGCTGGCATTTGCACGGAATGTGTTTTTTAAATGAAAACTCTGTTGCTTTAAATGGCCCTTTATTTGCCCAATTATTAGATCAAGGGATGAATTTCAGAAGATTGACTCTGATGAGTTATATTTTAAAAATATAAAATCTCTACAGAACTCCACCCATTGTAGAGTGACATGTCCCTGATGAATTGTAACTGAGAAAGTAGGAATGAGGAGGACACTTGGTTGGTCAGTACTCACTCCTTGTAAGTAGCCATGACTTCCTGATTTAGTAATAAAACTGAATATTCAAATATGTACAATTAAATATAAAACTAACCAAGTGGTTAAATGTAGTATCTAAAAATATTTTTTTTGACAACACTTGCCACAGAGGCCATTACCAAGCTTACGAAGCAGGCTAATGCTTATCAGAATGCCATTGTATAAATAGTTTTAGAAACTGAAAGAAAAGATACATCATGAAGCTCATTCAGAGAACTGTGCAATAATAATAAAAATAGTGATTCAAGTGGAAGTCATGTGAGCAGGAAATACACAAAATGTTCCCATCATCAGGGTAAAACTAATAGTCTGCAAATGAAATATGATTGTGGACCTGGTGTGTTCTTATAGAAGTGCATATCACTGTGATTATATTGCAGCGTGTTGCAAGTGGCATTGAAAACCACTCTGCTGGAAACATAGTGGGCTTCAAAACCAGTCTGAACTTATAATAAGGTTGCATTCAAGTTAAAGATTCACAAATATGTTAATAAAGGATGTGTGAAAAGCATATTATCTTAAATATATGAATTCCTCATAACTAAGCATATTATATTAAATATATGAACTCCTCACATATATATCAGGAAATATTCTAAGTTTCAAGGATATTTTTCAAGATCCATGAGACCCAGAGAACCCCCTCCCCCTATATTGAACTTGTCTGTTAGAAGAATGGACACACACGCGCGCGCGCGCACGCACACACACACACACACACACACACACACACACACACACACAACGTGAGCAGGTGAGCTGTATCTTGACTTTCCCATTACCAGAAGTAGTGCTTGTTCATGCAGTAGCTGTTGCTGCAAGATCTCTAACTGTCTTTGCTCCTCCTCTAACTGTCGCCTGATGTACTCCTGCAGAGGTAGGCAGCAGAAAATTCAGAGGAGCACAAAGAGAGAAAGAAAGAGAAAAAGAACCGGTAATTTCAAAGGTGACAAAGAGCTGTCAAGTAAAGTGTAGAAGGAAGGAGGGGAAAAAATACCCAGATACCTCCTCACCACAAAGGGAAAGTATGCCACACCAAAGCCAAAGCTTTTCAAAGCAAAGCACAAGCCCTCTCCCTGCACAGCTGACTGAGATGTCTCTGTACGTGGCTGCTCCTATTAATAGTTTTAATAAACTCAGCTACATTTTAAGGCCTTTCAGGATAGGTTCCCTCTTTAGGGGCCAGTGAGAAGTAGCAATATTATAAAGTTTGAGATCTTTTGTGCCAGGAGCCAATTGTTGAATATCCTCATGAAACACGTCTGTCATGGGAACATCCTGCAGTTTCACTTGTCTGAATCTGCATCCATGGCTCATAGTTATGGCCCTAGAGATGCATCAGTAGAAAAGCTTCTTCGAAGCAATGAAAGAGTAGGACTTGCTCGCGTATCTCTTTGTAGGTTCAAAGCAGAAAACCAGAACTGAAGGAATATCAGGGGCGTGGGCTTCATGGACATCCAGTCTGGATGAGGACACTCGGCCAAGGCATTTGACTTCTTGCGTCAATAAGCGAAAAGAACTGCTTGAGCAAGAGGATTGTCTTGCTACTGTTCACTGAGCAGTCCCCAAGAGAAGATGACCCACACACAGGAGACACTGGTCCTGGAGCACACACAGGGGCCGACTCGGGGGCTCCCTGCTCCGGCTGTACCTGCTCGTGCTCAGCCCGCCGCCTCTCCTCCTCCCTGCGGATCTGCTCCTCGTAGAGCCTGCGCTGCTCCCGTTCCTGCTGCTTCCTCAGCTCCTTCTCCCGCCTTTGTTGCTGTGGGGCAGAAGAGGAAGAGTTATATGAAGGAACTGGGCGCTGATGAGGAAAGAGTCAGGAAACCAGTGAGCACTGTTGCACTTACCACCTGCCTGTCAGCACAGTGGGTAGGGTGTTTGCCTTGCACGTGGCTGACACAGGTTCGATTCCTCCATCCCTCTCGGAGAGCCTGGCAAGCGACCGAGAGTATCCCACCCGCAGGACAGAGCCTGGCAAGCTCCCCGCGACATATTTGATATGCCCAAAACAGTAACAAGTCTCACAATGGAGACGTTGCTGGTTTGCTCAAGCAAATCAATGAACAACAACGGGAGGACAGTGCTATAGTGCTACTGCCTGCCTTCATGTCCCAAGGCTCTTTCTCTCCAGAGCAGTTGGAGGGAAAAGTGGCAAGGATGGAGCAATCGACAATTCAGAATCCAGCAAAAACCTCCCACCGTTTACCAGGCAAGTTGATTCTCACCGTTTAAACACCACCCAGGAAATTCCTATTTCCTGTGTTCTCCCAATTTATTGAGGGGGTTTTCAAATCAGGGGTAGGAAACACAAACAGGTAATAGGTTACATGTCATCAAACTGTCTTGAGACTTTATAGGTCTGAAAGCTCATCCACACTGCTCCACCCACTCAATCATCTCCACATCATCCACACCAGACATTTCATAGGCAAAGAAAGCAAAAATCAGAAGTGAAGTAACATATTCAAGCCTTACAGAAATTAATGACTGAAGCGTTAACAGAATTAACTAACAGGTCCCCAGTTCACTATTATTTATGGTATGCCATACAGCTTTTATGTATTCTCTTTTAGGTGTCAATTTCAACTTCTCTATCAACTAAGATCTTTAAGCTCAGAAACCACCGTCATTGATGTCTGCGTAATGTGGGGGTTATGAATATTCACCAGACCCCAGTAAAAAATCCACAGAGAAACTAGTGAGCACTCTCTGCATATCAACTTCTGTACCCAGGATCCAACCAACTGATGGTATAAAGAATCTGGAATAGAAAAATCTCCATGTTAAGCTGGCCCATGGAGTCTCTAATTGGTATTGTCCAAAGGTTAACTGTAATTTAACTGTGTTTAACTGTGGACAGTGTGGTAAGACCCTTTCATACTTTCACTTTGTTTAATCTTCATAAATCTTCTGAGGTGTGGGCTAAAGAAATAGTACAGCGAGTAGGACGCTTGCCTTTCATACAGTCAATCTGGTTTTGATCCCCAGACCACATAAGGTTCATTAAGCACCACCAGGAATGATTCCTGAGTATAGGCCCAAAAGTAACCCTAGCAACACTGATTGTGACCAAAATAAAAAAATAAACCCCTAAAATCTTATGGGGTAGACCTTACCACTATCTATAATTTCAAAAGAGAATATAGGCACACAAAGATGGACTATTCAAGGGCACATTCATGTTCAAGGCCATGCCCAGTAAGGGTGGTGCTTGGGTTTGAAGACAGGTAATGCAACTCCAGAGGTTAAACTCAATCTTTACAGAACGTGAAGAGGCCAGATGAATAAATGAAATGTAACAAATTTGACTCTTTTTTTATTTTGGGGAGGAGGACACACCCACCAGTGTTCAGGGCTTACTTCTGACTCTGTTCTCAGTGATCACTTCTGGTAGTTATCGGGGGACTGTATGCAGTGTTGGGGATTGAAGCTGAGAGTGCAGTGTGCAAGGCAAATACCTAAACTCCTGTGTTATCTGCGGCCCAACTTTTTTACCATTTTTCATATTCTCAGCAAAGGAGAAAAAAAACCTTAAGGTAAAGGTAAAGGCCCTCCCGTTGTTCATCGATTTGCTCGAGCGGGCCCAGTAACGTCTCCATTGGAGATTTTGTTGTTACTGTGTTTGGCATATCGAATACATCACGGGTGGCTTGCCAGGCTCTGCCGTGTGGGCGAGATACTCTCAGTAGCTTGCTGGGCTCTCCGAGAGGGGCGGAGGAATCGAACTGGGATCGGCCATGTTGGCTGCGTGCAAGGCAAATGCCCTACCGCTGTGCTATCGCTCCAGCCCCAGAAAAAACACCTTAGGAACAATTATAAAAACTGTTGGATAAATTGGGTTGTCCTTGCTCCTCCTGCAGGGAGCTTAGGGTTATTGAGTTACTCCCACAGCAGTGACCCAATTCCTTTAAGCACTAATAATCCTATACTCATTTTCTCTTTCCTTTATGCCATTTGCATGGTTTATTCAGCAATGTCTTTTTGTACAGACACAGGAAGACAGTTCATGCTATGCTTTGTAACATGGGAGTTAACTGACTCCAAAATAATATTTACACCCGGGCATCCATATTTATTTAACTTAAGTCTCAGTTGCCCTTAGTTCCTAGCACTCCAAGAGCAGGGTCCCAACGAAGGGACTGGATGGACCCAGGGAAAGCTGTAAGATACCATGGCATCAAAAAGGAAACAAGCTAAGTGCCATAAGTATAATAAGTTAAGAGCACGGTCATGGGCAAACTCTGTCATAAACCAAAAAGCAGTAACTGAATAAGGACCCTGCTGGGGTTAGGAAAGACTAAACTGGCCTGAGGACTATGGTCTGGGATATACAGCAAGATGTCCTCAGGAAGAGCCAACCTTTAAGCTCTTACTGTATTCAAACAAAAATGTCATTGCTATAAGTATTATAAGAAGCAAATTTACTATGATTGGTTAAATGGATTACTAGCTGAGGAAAGGAGAAAGTAATACACCCTGGATGGAATCCTGCCCTAGAGCAGATCTCCTAATAATCTGGAGTGCTGAACCCTCAGATGAGATTTTGTCCTTGAGTTAATCCCCTAGAACTTCCCCTGAAGGAGAAGCTTTACCTCTGTTTGTTGTTATGACAATGTCCAACCCCACCTAAGTGTACCGCCACCCTTCTTGATTGCTATATAACTATGCTGTAAGGGGGAAAAGGGGCAAGGGATTTTGTGGTCTACAAAGAGACAAAGATGATGGAACTATGATGACTGGGACTATGACCAAAACTATGACTATGATTCTGCTGTAGGGGAGAGATTAGACTGTGCTGGGAGGAGAGAGAAATAAACGAACTACCGACCAGCAGTGGGGCCCAGTTCCTGTTCCTCCATAAGATAGGCAGAACTGGGGGACTATGAGATTTGTAAAGATGAGAGAAGTTCCTGGCTAAGGAGTGTGGCTGATGTTGTGATAGAGAGGAAGAAAAGTAGGTTCTCGAAGGGATTAGAACTAAGTTGAAGTTGAGGGATGAGGAATGAATCAGCTTCCAGATTTGTGATTATATGTTTTCTAGAAAAATAATAAAGGAAGACATCAGTAGTGGAAAACATCATTATAGAAGCTGACTGAATAATTTGAATTAGAGATCCAAAAAGAGAGGTTTCCAACACTCAACCAAACAGAATCAATGCCAGCACAGAGAATCAAATAATTATATGTACAGATCTGGCTCCTGGCAGGAAATAGCCCTAATTTAGCTAACATTTCAAGTTTTTACTCCCACCATTGGTCTCTTTACTGAGGAAAAAATAATCAAGGCTTTTGAAGATTTAACTGATTTATATGTGAAGGATTTGTACATTTTCAATTCCTTTGCCAGGAATCAATACTGTTTTATAATTACATGCCACTCAGGTCCCTTTGCAAGGTATATACAATATTGATTGCAACTTAAGAGGGTCTGGACTTCCCAAATACTCTGTAGTTTCTGAGAAAGACACTCAAAAGTAACTAATAATTAATAATGATCTCATTCGGATCATCTGCTGCTAACGCAGACAGGCTTCTGCCAGGGCTTTGGTTCCTGTGGCGAGGTTGGAAAAATAAATCACTTCCCCAACCTTCAGAAGGCACCTTGCCAATTTCCAGCTGTTGTATCTCAATGTTAATGCCTTTCCAGAAAAATGTTTGGTCTCTCCTTCTGTGGGGCTGTTTGAGGGAACACACTGAAATGTGTGGGACTCAAACTATACTCCCATCTAAAGCAGGTTTCTTTCTTTCTTTTATTTGATTTATTTATGTATTTATTTTAAAATTTTTAAAAATGAATCACCATGAGACACAGTTACAGATTTATAAAGTTTCGTGCTTACATTTCAGTCATACAATGATGGAGTACCCATCCCTCCATAAGTGCCCATTCTCCACCACCAAAAATTGGTGGTTCTTGCTACAGCAGTTCTTTGAGGAAAAAGCCCGTTCTGAGTTTTTGTGGAAGCTTCACTGTTTGTTTCTTTAGAGCTTAAACCTTGTAAGTCCAGAGAAGATTTTATTAAAATGACCCAGAGGAGAAATTTAGGGCAAAAGAAGAGAACAGTTTCCTCTGAATTCCTTTGGGGCCTTTTCTCTTCTCATTAATACTTTCAGTTTGTATTACAGTATTACTAATTGTATGGTAATTTGAGTACATTTTACCTAATGTGAACTGCTATTTTGAGCAGTTCCACTCAAGCTTTTATCCTCTTGCTGTATGCAGTCCGGGCCTGAGACCATTGGTATTTGCTACAAATATGGCCTATGAGTAAAGCTAAGAGGATATAGCCAAGCAGAGCCTTAGAACATCCCACTATCCTATTAATCCAAACACGAGAAAGGTCTAAGAATGATTTCTAAACAGAAAGTTACCTCTAATTGGCACTGACATAGTACTTCATCATGATCTTAAGGAAATAGAAGAATATAAAATAAGGGAACAGGATTCTGAGAGGAAGGGTCTAGGAGAAGTCAGAGCCAGAGGGTATTTCTAAATTTCATTCACACTCTGCCCAAGGATGACAACAGTATCCAAAGAGAATGGCTTGAACCAATTACTTTTTTTTTGTTGTTGGGGGGGCGGTCACATCCGGCGATGCTGAGGGATCACTCCTGGCCCATGCACTCAGGAACCACTCCTGGTGGTGCTCGAAGGCCACATGGGACGCTGGGAACTGAACCCGGGTCAACCGCGCGCAAGGCAAACGCCCCACCCGCTGTACTATCGCTCTAGCCCGTTTCTTTCTTTCTTTTTTTTTT